TTCATGTGTACAGTGTTACAAATGTATTGAACATGTACAAACTAGGGTTTCCCATTAATGTACCGGGCGCTACAGTGGAATACGCACATACACAGTGTACCCGCGACTCTTACAATGAAGTGTAGTGCCGAGGATATGGAGTCAGAGGCGGTGCAAGGAAGGTGCAGAAATAGTAATTTATTAACCAGCTGCAAAGGACGTGTTGTCGGGTCGCAGCCCGGGTCGACAAGATAAAGAGCCAAGAGGGCACACACTATATATAAGTAACCCATAACAACTCACCTCCTCTAGGGGGGTCCGGGGCATGCTCCCCTTTTAAATTTTTTATATTGAAGTTAAATGCATCAACCTGGTGCACTTTGAGAGCAGAATGAATTTATGGATACACCTCTCAGCATCCGTATGAACGGAACTGTAAACAGATTTTCTTTTCTTTATGGATATTTTACAAATCACTCACCTTTTAAACTGTATTCTATCCATAAAGAAAAGAAAATCTGTTTACAGTTCCGTTCATACGGATGCTGAGAGGTGTATCCATANTGTCTGAGCTTGCTGCTGTGTGCGCCATCGTGCGTTTACATGCAGATGCTGGGATCCTGAACGGTGCAGCTGGAGCGCTGTGCCCGCATTGACGTCACCCATAATTTGGCGGGACTTGAAGAATCCCCGAGAAGATCCAGGAAATGGTCAATATTGAAGGGCAGATTAATGGTTATCAAAGTACAAATATCCAAAATCAGTTCAGTAACGGTTTTCAAGGGGACAATATTTACTCAAATTGATGGGTTTGGATGATGGGGGAAAATCGTGTCACAGGCTCTTTAAAGGTCACATGTCATGCTTTTCCGGTTATTACCCGTCCCCTTGTGTGTTATGAAGGTTTTTATGCATGTAAACGGTGTGCAGAGTCAAAACCCTTAAAGTACACCCTGTAACGAGTAAAACTCTAACACAGAAAATACCTCCTCAAAACGACTCGTTGGAGATACGTCACTGTCCATTGATTCTTCCGGTTACGTGCTTACGAAAGCGTACCCGGAACTAAATGGGCCAATCCGTGGAGCCGTTACGTTACGTCCGTGGAGCCGTTACGTTACGTCCGCGGAGCCGTTACGTTAAGCCCCCGCTGATTGGTCCAAATTGACCAATCCACACACACACANAACAATAGCAGAAATTAATTAAGGTTAACATTGAATTACATAAAAAATTATAAAATATTAAAGATGAAAGTAAAAAAATAAATGAATGCATGAAAATGTTGCAAGGGACACAATGTGCACAGAAATGCAGAAATAGATCAATGTAGAATTACGAATAAGATTAATGTAAATTGTAATACTACACAGAGCAATTACATACTACTTATAGAAATAATTGATATTCATTATCAAGCAATCGTACAGGTTATGGTGAGTTTGGCTGTGTTTGGCTGTCGCTAAACAAGGAAACCACACCTCCACGGAGCTCAGCGCGATTCACAACGTCCCGACCAATCAGAGCACACTGGGCTCACAGGGAGGGGGGGGGGGGCAAGAGCTGCAACGAGCCGTTTAATGCTGGTGTGGAAGTAGTTCCGCTCTTACGTCTGACTACCTTCCTACGTGGGAAAATGGCATTTAGCAGACTTGTTTTTTCCCCGAGGCATTAAGGAACTGCTGCAATGAACCCCGAGGAGAATAAGGGTTTGCATGAACCCCAAGTGACTCTTGCTCGATCTATCTCTCATGTCCTGCAGGATAACTTTTAACAGAGGAGAGGTGGAGGAATTGATGCTTTGGTAACAGTGTTTTTAAAACGTTTGAACGCAAATGAAGCCCTGATGAGATACAAGACGGAGACTTTTCATCTTTGCTTAATGCTTGGTTACTTTTATTAGGCCTTTTTTTTTTTTTTTATAGTGGCATGTGACAGAAATACATCTCCAAATAAAGACCCTTCCAGGTTAAATGTACACCAGGCCTGGGATGCTGCAGTGTAAAGTCAGAAGTGTGTCAGGGTTTAGGCGAGGTGTTGGTCCTGTAAAATGTTTCCATATGTTCTCTTTGTGTGACTCAGAGTCTCACAGTTATAAAATATAACTCACCTTACATCTTCACTGCAGGAACAGATTGCCAGGCTAATGAAAAACTCCCACGGCAGTCGAGATTAACTTCTTCCAGGGTTTTGTGGAAGTCAAGTCCTCGATTGCTTTCCTGCCTGCGGCACTCCGTTTCTTTCTTCTCTTCCTCTCTCTATTTCCTCTTCTCTTTTTTCTCACCTGTAGCGCAGTGGCTGCTGTCTCCAAGGGGGAAAAGCTTATTGAGTCAATTGAAGCAAAGAGGAAATTAACAGCTACTGGCTGGCTGGTTTTATTGTTTTGTTTGGAGACAAATGCAGCTATATCCTCGCTGCAGAGGGGGGGGAGGGGGGGCTTTCCCTCGGCTCTCACTCAATTGCTTTGTGTTTTTTATACATTGCTTCCTTTGTTCAGCTTGTTTTCTCTATCTCTGATTGCTGAAGTTGCTCTCAGTGCGGACTAAGAGCCCATTTACACGCAAGCGCATACGAAACGCAAACAAACCGAATACGATATCAAAAAAGTCTTCCGTTCACACGAGACCGCTCGAAAGCGCTGGAGACGCTGTAGTACATATGCCGGGCCTGTAAGTGGCGCTGTACGTCCGCCACAAAATACACCAAAAGCAGCGAAAGAAGAACCCCGAGCATGGTTGCCATGGTTGCCTTTCTGTTTATGCCCCGAGGTGGATTTAGCAACATGTAGTTCATGTAATTCTCCATGTCCACTTGTTGCTGATGGTTGTGGTAGAGGAGCTGTAGATTTTGCACTATCATCTGTAGCATGGTCAGTAGCAGTAGTGCTACTGCTACTGACCATGCTACAGATGATAGTGCAAAATCTACAGCTCCTCTACCACAACCATCAGCAACAAGTGGACATGGAGAATTACATGAACTACATNATCAGGTTTCATAGAGCCAAACATTTCAAGTGCTACTCAACTGGCATTTAAAAAGCCAGCCCTTTATTAGTATATAAGTGCTTTGTTAGTAATTTTATCGCTCGAAGTGGAGTCTAAAGAGATGAGTTTTCAGTTTGCGTCGGTAGATGTGTAAGCTATCTGCTGTCCTGATTTCAATGGGGAGCTCATTCCACCATTTTGGAGCCAGGATAGCAAACCCACGTGTTTTTGCTGACGGGAACTCGTTTTTGCTGACGGGAACTCGATAATGCTTCAGTTTTTCTAAAGCTACAGTAGGAGTTGTTCTGTAGAAATGGCCACATCAGTGATGCAGAAGCCTGTTTCAAACATGCCAACATCTTTGATATAGTCACTGATTTAAATAAGTCTGGTGTTGTGTTCAATCAATCAGTCAACCAGAGCATTGTGGGATTTTGCCAGACCCAGAAAAACAAATGCACCCATGTAAAATAGCAACATAAAATTGCGCTCCTATGTGATGAGACCACATATAACACACTTCAGGAAAGGGAAAACCCCCAAAAAGCATAATAGGGCCTCTTTGAAATGCTCCTGTTATGTATACTGAACAGTAGCTAGTAGGCAGTGAAAGTAAACACAGGCCTATGAAATTGTAAATGAAATAAAACTGCAGTTCTGGCATTGAACTCCATTCAAATTTAGCAGCATATTCAGGTTTAGAGGAGAGTTAGAAATACTGCTCAGCTAATCATCTGTAAAGTTCTATATTCTGAACTTCGATGGCTCAATTCATAATTCATTTATTCATCTACCTCAGTGGAATGTGGCTTTAAAGAGCATATTTAACTTCTCATGCATCATGTATCTGCTACATTGGATGAAAGATAAAACGGCTCCACTCACATCCAATCATCATCATGGCCACTGCAAAGATTTTCTCTCCGTCTGTTGTCGGGGCGATGTTTCCGAAGCCGATGCTGGTGAGGCTGGTCATGGTGAAGTAGAGCGAGGTGATGTACACCGAGTCTTTGTTGGGCCCGCCCTCCCACTTCCCTGAGCCGCTGACGTTGAAGCGGTACGGGTTTCCCACCGACTCTGCCAGGATGTAGAGCCAGCTGTCCATCCGCACGTAGTTTGTTTCTTCATCGATTACCTCGTAGTCACCGATGCTGAACCTGGAGAGCCAGAAGTGATCAGGAAACCAATTTAATGAGCTATGTGTTGGAGATGCATTCAGGTTCAGGGTCATTTATTTGCACTCATGTGTAGATTTGGTTTGCAGTAAGAAGACAAGTTATCCATGTTTCAAACAACAATGACAACAGACATATCTATAAAAAGTTAAAGCCACTACAATAAACATAACTACAACTTGAACAAAGCTATTTTTTAAAGCATTTCACACTTTCTATACTGTCAATCATCTTGCTACTCCCTTAACATGAAGAAGGGTCTACTAGGTGTCCAGTGTTTGCTCTTCTGTCAAAAAGACTAAATCTCATTTGTTCAGAATCCACCTTGGCACATATACACTTATTTATTTTTATTTTGAATGAAAGCATCAGCGAAATATATTTAATGAAATGTTCTACTTCGTGTATAAAAGTCTACAGAAAAACGAAATGCTGTGGGAGGCTCAACAGGAAATACTCTCAGGTGTTTGACAAACCCATCTGTCCAACGTGTTTCTCTCTCACAGCTGCAAGACATATTTCACTCATCAGATTATTTGAAGTCAATTTTAGGGGCCTGAAGAGGTTATTTTCAACAGTATTGCTTGTGAAAAAAGCAACAAACCACAATTCTGTGTGGCAGGATTTCAATGTTTTTATTTCATATCTTAGTGTTCATGATTAATCCTGCTGACGTTTCTCCTCTCAACACCGCTGTCGCTGGGCTTGTGTCCATGCCAACCACAGAAACCACCTTGACAGAAAGATTCAGGAGCTATTTTTATTTGAATCTGAGTCTGAGGTTTTCACCGGCTTAATTTATTAAAGTTTGATTTATTCTGTCTGGGCCAAAAAACAATGTTTATGATATGTGTCAGAGCCTCTTGTTGGAGCCCAGTTTGTTAACCACATAACATGTTGCATATTAACTTGTTTTAACATCTGATAGATGCACATAATGTTGTGGTCATGAATATTTTACTTGAATATGTCTTGTAATCTTTGTTTATGAGGGATGGGTCAACTGTTTGTATGTGTGCGTAGTTGGAAGAACGTAACAAAATGAACATAAACGGCCATCTGCAAAGAAAATGTATTTATTGTCATCTATCAAACACATTTTCCTTGTTTTTATGTATGCACGTCATTAAGTTTTAATGGTGGCATCTTCATCTGTCTGTGTTTAGACATTCCCATAAACATAATAAATCAACGTACAGTATGCTGCCTCCACTCTACTTGCCCCCTGCAGAGTAGATGATCTGATTAGACTGAGGCCTGCACGCCTACATTTACATATTAATGAGGGAAAACTGATTCCCTTGAAACCTTTAAAACTGTTTCTGTAAGGTACCAAAACATACAGTTTGATGAGTAAAAACAAGCATGTTTAGTGCTAATGAATGCATTAATTAGCCTTATCAATGGCCTCATTATATTAATTGGCTACGCTATTTAGAACGTAGCAGTCATGTGTCATGTAATGTATTTGCACGCGTACAGTAACTATCCTTATACGTTTTTGATTCCTTTCTGACAACAGTATAATGAAAACTAGAAATCCCTGTATTGAATATAAAGTGCATTATCCATACTGAATATTATATCTCTCTTATAGCAGGAGATAAGTACATTTCTGTACTTACAGTAAGGACATGTTTGGGGAACAGTGTTGAAAGAGGGTCAGAATCAAACCACAGCGGGGACGAAGCCCAGGGACATGGGTCGCATATTTAAATAAAATGTCTGAGTACTTCCTCCACCATTGGTAAGAAGTAACATTACATTAATAAATAAAATGTAAGTAAAATACACACTGTTTTCACACACACATGTAAATAATATGTGCACATGACCAAATATGGATATATGTGCATTTTCATTCATTTCTTATTTTATAGTTGTTTATCATTTTTTTATTTGTATCTTTGATTTTATCCTTAATTGTATTAATCTGTGCTTTCCTGTTTTCTCAATCTTACCCTGTTGCTGTTAAACTACTGAATTCAAAAGGTCCCTATTATCTTAAATAAATAAATGTCATGAACATACCAGATGCAGGCCAGCCAGTGAGCGGCCAGTCCAAAAACACAGACCAGCAGCACCAGTACCGCCGCCCCGTACTCGATGTAGTGATCCAGTTTACGAGCGACCCGCCCCAGACGCAGCAGTCGGATCACCTTCAGAGAGCTGAACAGACTGCTGATGCCCTGGAACACCATTCACAGAGGAGAGGCAGAGAGAGAATCAGAAACAATACTTATATGTGTGTGTATATAAGTGTAAAATATACTGTATATTTAAAATACTTGAGGTTTTTCTTTCTGTGTCTGTCCAACACCAGGAGGTATATTAATTAAACCAAAATGATGTTGCTCACATACAACTTTAAGTCGCTTTATTTGGCATGTAAGCCTTATATTACGAGTTGATAACACACTATAAAGTGGTTTTACGCAGCTGTAAAGACATTTATAAATTAGCCTTAAGTGTTTGGTTGGTAATTATAAATAATCCAGTAGCTGTGTCATGTAACTACAGATGAGAGTAACCAGGAGGAGTCATAGCTGTTCATATATATATATACATTATTAACGCTTAAAATATAGTATGGTATTACAAATGTATTAAATGCTTTTATACACTTTAAAACCGGTTTTAGTTTGCTGGTGTAGTTATGTATATTTGTATTCTTCTATTTTGCCCTTCTACCTGTTTGTGTGTGCGTATGTTCTTCTTTGTTTCACTATTATTGAGTGACTTTGCCTCTCTGACAGTGCAATTTGCCATTGGGATTAAAACAATGAGCAACAAATACTTTACAAGACATCTAACATAGTAGACAAAATATAATATGCTGTTTTTTGAAAATATTTCAACTTCAGATTTAGCAGCAAAGGACAACTGTTAATTAATAACACTCTACCCCAATCTGATAACTCCAAATGATCTCTTTTATCAAGATAAAGAAGCAATGAAACACGCTGTTAACATAACGTATGAACTGATGAAGTGAAACAAAAACACATTGGAAAACATTTTATAGAATCTGGTGAAAATGTGTGAAACTACAGCAGATGTGATATGAACAGCAAACACAGAATATGGAAACAAGATTCAAGACGATGAAGTACACGATATATTAAGATTCAAAATATGCTGAGTTCATCTTGAAAACATTTCTCTGCAATGTGATGATATTTTACAACTTCTGGCGCTTACATAACCGGCAGATAAATGTCTACTCAGCTCAAATGAATATATTGAAACACCCACTCAAACAGACAATTGCAGTCCCATCAGTTTTCTGCTGCTATTCTGCGCGTGCGTGTGTGTGTGTGTGTGTGTGTGTGTGTGTGTGTGTGTGTGTGTGTGTGTGTGTGTGTGTGTGTGTCTGTCTGTCTGTGTCTGTCTGTCTGTCTGTCTGTCTGTCTGTCTGTCGGGAAGGATATTGATTTGCTAATGTGCTGTGGTCTGCAATGCGAGTACAACTGCAGCGCTTGCTGTCACTTGATCTGATCTCGCTGCCTGCTAGACACCTCGGCTTCTTCAAAATCACTTTACAGGCCTGAGCTGCAACGCAACTCGATTACCAGAGCCATTGACTTTAAGAGTACTGCTGCAAACACCAGGTGGGATAGAAGTTCATGTAGCCTAAAATAAATGTTATTAAAGGCATTGTTTGACAATCTGAGAAATATGCTTTCTTGCTAAGTGATCGATGAGCAATCGTTCTCTTAATGTAGAGCAATTGCCAGCAGGAGGTTTGAAAATACACCCTCCAGCGTTAGTTTATACAACATACAGAGATTAGACTGCTTTTATAGTTTGCGATTTTATGGGGAGTGACGTACGTGCCGTCTGTTTCCCCCTGCTAACAGTAATAATGCTAAGCTAGGCTAAAAGGGCAGTAATCAAACTGGGGACAGTTCATCAATATGCTCCATATTATTTGATATCTCGAATTAGAGTGCAGAAAACATTATTCATTTTCATTTGTACACAAACAATTGGTGTTTCAACGGGGCGCTAGCCACATGTTTGATTCCCTTTCATTACACTCGTTTTGCTAAACGAATGGACTCATGACTTGCCGAGAAATCAGATATTTTATATATATTTAATCTTTTCCTTCTCGCACCAAAACAGTGAATAAGCATATTCCCCAAAATGCCAAAGCACTCCTTTAAGAAATGTAATGACCTGTTATTATATTAGAAAAGGTACCATTAAGTCATACGTTTTTACTTTTACTAAATAAGACCTTTTTTTTTTATTCAATTTTATCATGTTTTATCAAACCACTGTAAAGCGTCTCTGAGCACCTGAAAAAGCGCTTTGAAATTAAATGTATTATTATTATTAAGATAAATAAGTGATCTAAAGTGGGATTGTTTTTTGAACTTGAGAAATTGGTTATGTGTTTTACAATGTCCAATTTAAACATCATAATGAGAGGTCATACATTTAAGCTACTGACACCCAATTCGTTAGCTGATAAAAAGAGTCAAAAAATATGCTGTCAAATGAAGGTGGCTACAAAAGAGGTGGTTCTTATAATGGACAGCACACAAAGTTCAAAACTCCTTCTAATAAATCCAATTCTAATGCCTGGATGGCTCTTACTTTGAAATCTGTTGCTGCAGTACATTTGTCACAAATGACATGTTTGTTAGTGCTGACGTGAGGATTGAATCAGCTCTCATGCAGCTTTAATAACGCTGCTTTCAAATTGTACTAGAACATTATCTGATAGATGTTATCTGCTGGCAATGAAAAGCTTTAACAGGAAAAAAACAAAACAAGCAGCACAAATCTTAACTTGCTCTCTGTGACACTTATTTCATGCATTGATGCTTCTGCTGTCATACTCTCATCGGGCGCCACAGCTGAAATGTGGGTGCAAGAGGAAATGTGGGACTATCAAAGCCTGATGGAGAGTAAATGTAAGGTGTTCATCAAGTGAGCATGTGAAATAAAACACAAAACTGTTCATAATCATATTCTAATCAAACTGGAGCCTACTTGAGTGACAGCTTGGTGGTTCCAATTCTTCCCATCACGTCCCATGCATGAATACAGGCAGAAGAGGAAGAGGTGGGGGGCCATGCAAACAGAACGGATGAAAAAGAAGAAAAAACAAAAACGAAGCACAAGTAAGAGAGAAGACACTTGATCAGTGGTAAGCGATGAATAAACACATAACAAAATCAATATTCAATAAAAGGCTTCAAATGAAGAGATCTGTGTTTGTAAAGCATGAGCAGTGTGACCAAAGCATGCACTGACACGTTGTCAGCAGCAACATGAAGCGGGTTATCTGTTTTCTAGGTTATCACTCATTAGAAGCCGACACAATAACAGCGAGCTTCAGTCAGTCAGTCTCGAGGTGACATGCGTCGCTTTAAGATTGCCAAGAACAACTTTGACAGCCGCTCCTCATTAATGATCTCCCCCTTCCCTATTTGGAAACCTGTTGGGGGAGAAAACAGCCATCAAAGTTATTCATGTCAGTCGTTGAGGTCGGTAGCAGCAGCAAAAAGTTGGGGCTCCCGCTTTAATAACACAGCCGATTGTTTACCCGCTCTCATTTACCCAGGCCATGGATCGCCTCAAAGCAATTTGGAGCAAATTGGAGTCACTGAGTTGTTGCAGAGACTGGAAGATTATCCTGGAAGTGGATGGTCATCTTTCATGTTGGCTCACAGCTAATGTGTTCATAATGTTATAAAAGGCTAAATATACACGTGACCCTCTCAGTGAAGCAATAGTAAGGCGCTGTAATGTGAAGTGTAGAGATGTAAGAAACTATCAGTCGCAGAATTGTTGATTTCTAATTAAAGGGACCCTATTATGCTTTGTAGGGTTTGCTTTCCTGTAGTGTGTTTTATAGGAGTGCATGTAAATGGTCTGCATCGTAATATCATTAAGTAACATTTGCGCTTCCATCGGCTAGCGCGCCAACACATTTTACATATCGGCTTAGGGGCGGGACATCACAACAGAGCCGGCCAGCTAACCAATCAGAGCAGACTGGGCTCTGGTTTCAGACAGAGGGTGAAGTATGTGTGAGGAAAAAATAGCACCTAAATATTGTTGTTTCAGTGAGTAAACACAATATAGTATACCTGATAGCATAAAGTCTAAATAGCCAATACATGATATGGGATAAACCTGATGCATTCTCTTTTATTTAAATGTATATATTTAAAAAGTCCAACAATACATATTGCTAGCACTTATTTTCTGAGTATCCAAATCCTGATATTGCGTAATGTTCCCTGCGATGCCGTCAACAAAACACATTTAACAGCTACCGCGTTGGGCTGGGTGACTTATTATTTCATCACAAAGGCCATATTTCCAGCTCTCAAACAATGCCCTGGCTGCAATTTTCTTTCGTGCCAGGTACTGTAGCTCCTCACACTAAACCTGATAAGAGAAGTGGTTTGCTGTCTACACTTCTGCCAAGAATAAACTACAATGGGCCTGTGACAGATTGTCCGCTTACTCACTGTTTACTTCTCCTTTGCTATAAAGGGATCTTTATCTAGCAGATCATGTGCAAAGCATGATGGATGGCAGTTAGCTCGAGTTTGGTGAAAATGAACTGTTCAGGAAAATATTTTATTTTGCTTTTGTAGGATTTCTCTCGGGTTTTTAACAAACTTGTGGCAAAGTTTTCGTATTTTCTTTCTTATTAGGGGCGGTAATGTCACAATATGAAGTATTGCACCAGCATAGGCAGGAAGAGAAGAGTAGAAGAAAATATGGGTGTAAACAATGCAGGTTAGGTGACAGTTAAAAAAATAAGCTTGGCGAAATGTTTCATGGAGGAAAGTAGCCCATTTGCTTTTCAAAGCAACTCTGAACCTGAAACTTAGCATAACAGGGCCCCTTTAAGCTCACTTTAACATTTACTTATTATTGAATTTCGTTTTGTCTGCATGCTAAAAATATCAAATAACACCAGCGTTATCCTTTAAATCACTAAAGCTTGTTGTTTTTCCTTCCTGCTGAGCACTAACTGCTTCTGGTCACCGCTTCACTTTGTCAGCGTTTAGGATGCTGAAGCGCTGAAAGACTAGAAAGGGGACAAAAGGCTGGACCTCCAAACAGAACTCAGTGCCTGCAGCCCACCTACAAACCACTTATTTTTAGTTTTTTATTGAAGCGTCACAACAGCATTCCATATTACGTAGTACTGTGTGTGCAACCGGATAGCCCCTGAGAGCCGACACACACTGCGCTGCTCGCTGTGTGACCGGCCACGTCGTTTAATGCTTTCACAGCATTTCACCCAGACACAACAATACACACACATCATGAGACACTGAAGCACACACAGGCACACGATGATGCATTATTAGAATGAAAACCAGCAAGTGCAGGACCCCGAGGCTCCATTTAATCAATGTTTATGTGAACATTTCGATCTGATTCAGAAGCTGGGGTTGCACTGTACAGAATATTTTCCATCAGAGGCAGATGGAGATAAAATGTACGTACAGTACGAGCTAAATATTTAGAACATAGATTTTCTGATATCAGCATACAACACAGAATATTGTAAAATGTGGATGACACAAATGCAAAAAATTGCATTGGAAATTTAGACTTTTGGCAAACCTAAACACACTTTTTTTCCTCATAAGAATATGGTAACATTTAAATGTATCTAGTAATATTTTCAATCAGACACAGCTGGAGATATGTACGTACCAGCTAAATATTTTGTACATACATTTTCTCAACACACATCAAATATTCTACCATGAGAGAAAGGTAGTTTCCCTACTCTGTGTATAACATTAATGCATTTGCGAACCATTCATGTTTGGCCTCTTGGCTAGATGAACACAAGTCAATCAACAATTTAAATTAACTGATTCCTTAATCAACGACTCACTTAAATGACTAATTATTTCAGTGGGTAAACAGACACGAATCAAGGCAAGCAATGTTAGTCATAAATGAAAAACAAATGCATGTTTTCTTCTCTTTGGCTTGAGAAATTTAGACTTTCAGTTTTCATAAGACAATTGTAAAACTGTAATGTATTTAGTTTAAAATGCCAGTGTAAGCTAGTGTTGCATACTAAGGGATCATTTCCATCAGACTAAGCTGGAGATCTAATGTGCCAACCAGCTAAAAATATTGTAAATAGATTTGATCAGCATACAACACATACAATATTTTTAAATATTGATGACACAAATGCATGTAAGCAATATGATGTCATAAATAAACAACTAATACATGTTTTCTTCCTTTTTGCCTTAGGAAATCTAGACTTACAGCAAACCTCAACACCCTTTTTCTCACAAGTGTGTGTACTGTAATGTATCTAGTCAAAAGTTATGGTAACACAACATTACATTACATTACATGTGACTTGTTCGACGCTTTTATCCAAAGCGACTTACATAGTCAATACTGTGGGCAATCCCCACAGGAGCAATTTGGGGTGAAGTGTCTTGTCCAGGGACACAACGACATGCTGACTGCAGTGAGGTTTGAACCTGTCACCCCCTGATCCCAACACCTACGCACAACCCACTGCAGCACACGCCACAACAAACATCAGCTTTAATCCTGACTCGGCCCTTTTGTCAGCTGTCGTTAGGTGTTAATGGTTTTAGGGCATCAGCCGAGCTCTGAACGCCGCCTCTGTTTAATAATGTAACGCTCTTTCCCCAATTAAAATGTGCCAATTATCTCAAGATCCTGTGATAGCTCTCCAGCAAACACTCCTCATTACAGTCGAACATTTATGAATTCACAAACAAGCATATTATTATGTTGCTCCCTCATTTTTCCACCGTCACTGTAATAAAACAACAACAACCAGAGAACAGGATCTGATTGTCGCTGTCGTTATTACGTCTGGTTGTGCGCCTGCATGGAAACCTAATAACCTGTCAGTCACCTCACAAATGATCCCCTCTCGGACTATAGCTCTGTCTCAATTAGGTTGCAAAACAACTGAGCAGACAGAGAACAAGAAGAACTTCTCCAATGTGTTGGGATACAAATATTTTGTATTGAAGTCTAAAGCCCAAAGATATTTTACATTTACAGTGATAAATAAAAAACGATTTTTATTGTATTTAATAAGACATGATTGGCTTTATTGATTAGAAAATGGCTAAATCAATTATAATTTTTTTTGCCATCAACTCAATCAGAGAACTTGCTGTTTTAGCTCCATATCAATACATCTGCTTAGTATCTCAGAGTAATGCCAGCTCACATTTTCCCAAACTTAAATTCAAATTACTTTTTATATCTGAACAAAAGTCTGAAAACCATAAAATATTCAGTTTCAATCATCTAAAATAAAGAAAAGCAGCAAATCCTCCCGTCAGAGAAGCTGTAACTAGCAGATATTAGGCATGAAGGACATACACTTTTTTTATCAGCTCCTCCAAACCCACAACCTGCTCGCTTGACCCTCTACCCACCCCTCTTCTGAAGTCCTGCCTCCCCGTCCTTTGCCCCTACATTGTCAACCTTTTCAACTCCTCCCTGTCCCAAGGAACCGTTCCCTCTGCCTTCAAAACTGCTGCTGTCACTCCCATCCTCAAGAAACCCGGTCTGGATCCCTCCTCCCTCAGTAATTACCGCCCCATCTCCAACCTCCCCTTTCTCTCTAAAACAATAGAACGCATCATCTCCAAACAACTCCACCGCCATCTCCAAAAAAATGACCTTTTTGAACCCCTTCAGTCTGGTTTTCGTCCTCACCACAGCACAGAAACGGCACTCATCAAAGTCCTCAATTCCCTCCTCACCTCTGCTGACACCGGTTCCCTCAACATCCTCATCCTCCTTGACCTGAGTGCAGCCTTCGATACCGTGAGCCACACCATCCTGCTTACCCGACTCCGGGATATCGGTATCGAAGGTACTGCACTCAGGTGGCTCCAGTCCTACCTCTCCGACAGATCCCACTTCAGCTGTCCTAAGCTACACACACCCCCCGAACACCCTTACAACCAACGACTCCATCTAGACACACAGCAGTCGATCGTCATACTTTAAAGGTCCAACACCTACCCGCCCGCTAG